ATAAAAGGAAAAAAAAAAGCAGTCTCAGGAGGAAAAGGACAAACTAGACTCTAGAGTCCATGGAGTCTGTGGGGTTCTCTGAGCTTGGTTGTCACCAGACATGCAATCAAGCAGTAAACAATACCCTAATCAAGGGGGAACCCCCCCCCCCCCACCAACACAGGCAGGGCAAGCCACTGTATATAAACAGAGAGCAAACCCCACTCCCTTCTAGCACTGAAGATGTTACCTAGCTGGGTAAAGAAATGTGTGTAAGAAAACAGCCAAGCTCAGAGAACCCCACAGACTCCATGGACTCTAGAGTCTAGTTTGTCCTTTTCCTCCTGAGACTGCTTTTTTTTTTCCTTTTATTTTTCAAAAACAACAGAAACATTATTGCATATATTGACAGCTATTGCGATATAGTGGTTACAATGCTGAACTATGATTGAAGACCATTAGGCTTATTCTATTTAGTCATAAAATTCATTAGGTGTGGTCTTTTAGATTAGTCTACCTCTCAGGGCCCTGAAAAGATAAGAGGGAAGGAGTCAGGCTTGCTGCTCTGAACCTGTTAGCAGAATAAAAATGAAGGAGATCTAATGTCTCTTTTGCCAATCTGTTTTTATGTGACCATTCAGTAATTCCTTGGCTGATACAAAATTGAAAAACGTCTTTTCTATTAGCAAACAGGTATTTTATTTTGAATGACAGAATAAGAAAGCAAGATGGAGGAATTGGACCTGATGATTTGACCATTCAAGTTCAGCAACGTATAGGAAAACACACAGGAACGAATGGAATGTGAGAGAAGATGGCCGTGGATCTTCCTTTTTGTGACGCAATGGTATTGAGTAGATGCCTCTCTTTACTTACAGCTGAATTCCACTGAAGAAGGAACCAAAGAGCCCAATCATCCCTAGGAACTCCACCCTGCTCAGATTCCGTACGATGTACTCCTCACAGACGTTGGAGATGCCATAGAGAGTGGCCCCACCTAGTACTAGAAGATCACCTATAAGTTTATTTTCTCCTAGGAACAGAAGGAATATTAAAAAAAAAATCATAATTTGCTATTGGAAGCTCTACTTCATTAATTCAGAAACACTCATGGGTGAGCTTTATACCAAGGGGTTCTGGCTACCATGTCTGGTTCCTCCTCTCTGAAGGCAAAGGTATCAAATCCATGCATATGAAAGTTATCATACTCACAGATCCATGCCATCTCAGGATGTCATTACATGCATGTTATGAACTCTGGTTCACAAAAAATGGGGCAAAGATTCTATGGCCCTCCCCAGGATGTTTGGAACTCCAGATACCACAAGATTCCCACAGTAGTCTCAGCCAGCATGCACAGTGGTGAGAGGTGCTGGAAAAAGTAATTCAGCAAAATCCTGAGGGCCACTTCTGAGACCACAAGGAAATCCATTATTTTCTCAAGCCGCCTTATTTCCATGTGCAAAAAGTTTCTGGGCACTGAGCAACAACAACGACATTTTCTTCCAGCTTGCAAACACTTACCCGCTCCTTGCTGTCTTCCAACAAGAACATCTGCTCCTGCCATGCAGCCCATGCCCAGAATGCAGACCACAATACCAATGAAGTGCACTGCTTTGTATCGTACCAGGAGGAAGAACCAAGAAAGTAAGATCACAACTGGAATCACAAAACAATCTAGGAGCTGTAGGGAAAAAAAAACAATAAGAAAAGAAATCATTCTGAAAGGAGCTTTTGAATAGAGGATAGTCACACAAACCTGTAATTCAGAAAGGGTCTGATTGAAATGATTATTTTAGACATACCTGGCAAATGAGTTGGGAGCAAAACTAAAGACAGTTCCCTTGAAAATCCAGCACAAGGGGAATGCATGATTTTTCTTGGCCCAAACAATGGTTTTAAAACTAGTTCTTCCAGGAAATTAACGAGAATCTATCGGTGGGATCAATCCACTTTCCAGGGAAGATGCTTTGTATTCAGAGTATCCCTTTGCTAGTATTATCACTATTAACAAGATCCAGATGGTTTTAGTCATGCCACTTACTTAAACCATTGGTAATTTCCATGATTAGTGTTTCTTCTCCTCTGAAAATACAATGCACAGAAATTATCTGTGCAAATATATTGCTAACTATAAGTTCGAGCATTTAAACAAGAACTGTATGTGTTGGGGTGCGTACATTTACAGATACAGATGTGTGCACACACACACTCATACAATTAGAAGCATGAGAGTTAAAATGAAAACTGGAAATGGAGCTTAAGGGAACATTTGTCCACTATAGGAAAACAGCAACACATAAATCATTGGGTCTAAAGATTTCTGGAAGTTGTTTAATTTAACTGAGACCAGTTCACAATATGTGCATTCAGGTGGATGAAAAACTTCTGAATTTCCCCTTCCAATGTAAAATCATCAACATCATCATCAGAAAGTATTCCTGATGGATACTAGCTGTCAAGCTGGTCTAAGAGGATTTCTTAATGCAGACCACCAAATGAGACCTGGATGGTATTGATCTCAACCTATTTAAGGATGATGGAAATGGTCCTGTTTAGGTGCCTAATGCCTGCCTCTACTGAAAAAGATTGAAAAAGAGATGAGGCCAAGAGAAGGCAAAATAAAACATCCACCACAGAAGCTATGGATTAATTAAAATTAGAAGAAAAAAAAAGGCTTCATATTTGGTTTGGTTTGGTTTGGTTTGGTTTGGTTCCTATAAAAGGTCTGGGTGGCTTACAAAGCTACAGTAAAACAAAGATGTATAAATACAGTATAAAACATAACAAGTTGCCTCCTAAATTGTAAGAATATAAGTATAAATACATAAAGAAGGAAGCTTCTTTCCACTCCAAAGATAATATGTTCTAAACATTTTTTAAAGGATGAACAATGTAATATATACCTTAGCCTTGAATCCCTAAACTTTGAAAAAATTTAATTCCTACCAATCAGTGTTTGCCCTTCTAGAGACCAAGAAAATCAGCTATCAACTCTTCTCTCAAAGATCAACCTGCGGTACAAACCAGGGCATACCATGTGAAGTCCAAAAGATTGGTCCTTTTTTTTTTTTTTTTGCTTTTTAATTAACCATAACAGAAAGAGAAGGCAAATCATATCAAGTACGTTCCACCATATGTCACAGTCTCTCCATCTCCTTAACTGCTAAATTTAATATCATTAAAATAAAAATGATACAACTGACTTACAGAGTGGCATCAAAATAAAAGACAACAAACAGACATGTAGGCAATATGTCACCCCAAAACAAAACAAAAACAGCCAAAAGAAACATGCCAAAGCATGTACATGCTCACACATTTCTTCTTCAACCCTGTCACTCAGGCTTCATGTACAAACAAGCAATACTGTTCCAGAAGTTCATCCTGGATCCCCTTCAACTCAAACAGGCAACTTTCCCACCTTCAAACACCACAGGCAGAACACACACACATTCAACAGCTAGTAACTTTACCTCCCCAAAATTCCTGTACAATACACAAATACCATCCCAGAAACACCCCCAAACTTACTTACTTACTTACTTCCTTCCTTCCTTCCTTCCTTCCTTCCTTCCTTCCTTCCTTCCTTCCTTCCTTCCTTCCTTCCTTCCCTCCCCAGCCTCTCAAACTGGTGCAGGATTCTTTTTCCCTTGCCTTTTCTCTTTTTTCCCTAAACCTTTTTGTGACAGTACTTGTTAATTAATGAAAGGAAAGGAAAAAGATATGTTTTTGAAACTAAGAGAGAGAGAAAAAAAGGATGAAATAGAGGTGAATGAATGAAGGTGGTCTGATATTTTGGAATATAGTTGATGAATATCCAGAGGGAGAGGAACGTGGAGGTTTATTTATGAATGAAAGGGCTAAAATACGTCAGGAAGTATGAACTGGTGTCATCTAGGTTGTTGTTCAGCACCTGAAAATCAGATTCATAAGTTGATGAAAGTTCTTGTTATGCTCCAGTTAATGGTGATAATCGAAGAACTAGATATGAGGTTTGGGGAACATTCTGAAAATTAGTCTGTTAAGTGACATGGTTGACTGGGTGAAAATGAGATGAGAGAGGACAAAAAAAAAGTGATTGGGCCATTCAGAGACCCAAGAATGGATGAGAAAGGTGTCTGCTTAGAAAAAATATCTTTATTCCAATTACATGGTTTAAGCATAAGACTATTCATGCATACATGTAGCAAAGCTATGAATATAATCTAAAACCATTACTGACTGGCCGAAAGTCACCCAAGAAACTTCTGTGGCACAGCATGGACTTGAGCCTGGCTCCCCGGCTCCACCAATCCAACACTGAGAAATGTCTGAACATTAAAAAGAAAAGTCATTGTATGTTTGTTGATTTAAATGAAGCATATGATATGTGGCTAGGTTTGAATTATGGATGATTTTGTGTGAATACAGGGTTCCAAGTTGGTTGCTGATAAGAGTGGTCAATGATGGAAGGAAAGATCATGTGAGTATCAGGAATGCTGAGTGAATGGCTCAGTTTCAACACTGAGCAAAGAGTAAAACAAAGAAGTGTGATGTCTCCTTAGTTGTTTGTGTATTTATGGATAAATGTACAGTAAAAAGAATGTGATGGTGTTAACAGTGTGTTGGGGATATGACTGTACATGCCATTTTTATATGCAGCTGTGCTCTGTTGTTGGCTGGGAAATTGAATGTTGCTTGGTGAATGTTAGACAGATTAGATGATGCAATGGGCCATATAGATCTGACAATCAATGCATCAAAGAGCAGGATAGTTGTAATGGTGCTGTTGATGTAAATGTGAGGGAAAACTAGACAACTAGGTTTGTTGCAGAGACTGGCTCCCATGTTAGCATCATTGTCCTGTTATTTCTTGTTGTTTTTCAGAATCTGTTTCCATTAGATGGTTGTCTGTATGCAAATATGGGTCTGCACCCAGTACCCAAGAAAGGGCAGTGTCATTGTCCAGTATGACTGTAGCTGATTAAAAATGCATCTGAACAGCTTGTGTTGTGAGCTACAGTATAGGTGACAACCAGTGGTGTTTTGTTCTGCTTTTGTGGTCTGGTTTTTAAATAGTCCATCCTTGGAATAGACGTGTTGTTTAGCCTGAAAGTGAATTGTGGGTATGTACTATATGCATGTATGTTCACATCCTTTATGTTTTCTCTGCTTCACTGACAGGCTGGTAGACCCAAACCTGAAGCATAGTAAGTCACAAGAGCAGCGGAGAAGGAAACTTGGACTTGAATCTCCAAATAATCCCCTTCTTTTCTTCTCTTTCTGTGAGTGACTTGGAGATGTTACAGTAGCAGATCATGCATTAAACAGTTACCCTGCTTCTCTCCCACAGCATGTTGCTTCTTCTGGTCTGGACCTACTAAGGAAGCAATCAACAACGTGAGATGCAGAGAATCTGGGATTTTATTGGACATGATTTGCTGAAGGACAAACATTGGCTAAAAGTGCTAGTCTAGAAGCTGGGAGATGGTGAATTCTAAACCTGTCTTAGACACAAAAGCAATTAGTAGTCACTCTCTCTCAGCCCTAGGAAGAAGGTACTGGCAAGCCATTTCTGAAAAATGCTGCCAAGGAAGCTAGATAGTCTTGTTCCTGTAGTCATCAAATTGACTCAAAGGGCCATAACAACCACAGCAAATGAATGTTTGAAAAATGGCATCATATCAGCAAAATCAGTTGCAGGTGTAATAGATCTGTATTGATTATCTCCATATAATACTTTTTTTATCTCTATAAAAACATTATGATGCTTTTACTGGAAAAGATCTCTGATTCCCTCCTTGGAAGAATGGATAATTAAATTGTTGGAATATGTCTCAATGTCTAAAATAACTTAATATTTAAAAAGTAAATCTGATGTAGAATTTAATTCTAATGGAAACCATTGTTGGACTGCAAGCTTATGCATGGAATCATGCCACATCCAAAATTTGGGTTTTAGGGTTCATATCTTAATTTGATGTAATGTATAATGTATGATTTAATGTATTGTTTACTATTTACAGTCTTTTTTATTATTTGAACTGTGTTAACCAAGCATTTTTAGATTAAAGCTCTAGAGGGACATGTGGGTTTTGATTAGAAAACAGATATAAGCTTCTAATGATGCATTGGAATATATCGCTTCTATGATATTTCAGAATTGTTGTTCATTCACCCATATTTCACTACTTATACCTGCTTCATCTATTTGTATCATCTATTTCTTGTATTCTGGCTGCTTTCTATCTTATTAGTAGCATCCATATCTAGTATTTAATAGAATCAGAGTGTTATTTAGCAGTTTGGCAGTCCCATTTGCTATCCCCATGGATATTTTTCTGAGTGCAGATTAACTGTTATCTAAGTAGGATTATTTAGCTCCTCTGAATAATGTACCTACATTGCCTCATGGGGAAGCTTTCACTCTGTCCTCTCTAGGGAAATCCAGTGTTATTTGTATTTTTAGAAAAAAGGGCAGAATATGTGTTGTCTGTGCAATTTTCCGTAACACTCACGCAGTAATATTTGGACCCTATTGGGACCTTGGCCTTCTCTTAAAATGCGGCTCTTGTTTGCTCTTGGAAACATCAGAACAACTGCAAGATTTATCCCTCCCATCTCAATATTGGGAGAAAGTGTGAGATTCAATCTCACTTTTCATATTATCATAGTTATAAGGAAAAGTAAAACATAAATATT